GTCGTGTCATCCAACAGATGTCCAGGAACCCAGGTGCAATTCAGTGGCTGTTGGCTCCATGTGCAGGGGGGGTCGCCTCCGTGGACCTGGGCCCTGGGATTGCAGGGGATGCTCCATAAACAGCAGCTCAGGAGTTCTTTGGGCCATAAAGCAAGTCCCTTTTCCAAAGGATTTCCAGAGTGCATTTTTTAGTGCACCCTAATGTATAATAGTAGCAGGAGCACTCTGCAAAAGGCAGGAGCTCACCAGATAAACTTTGGAATAAAGCAAATATTAAAGCTTATTTATAGTTCTGTGTTCTCCTTCCTGTTTATGAGACTTTGACATATTTAGCTTTTATTTAGAAATTATTAGTCCCCAACTGGGCTCAGATGTCTCATCTCCTTTTTGAGTTATGCGCAAGGAAAAATAGTAGAGCAGTGATGCCTCTTGACTGATGCCTTTGCATCTTTAATTTAATAAGTTTATGAGCGCTTCTAGAGGACTTCTTACCATAGCACCTGCCTCCCCGCAAATCCCGTGTTTTGAGAGTGTTCATCCAGTGCTGCATTTCCTCCTAGTGTGGGTCCCATTGTTCCCAACCCTGTGATGTTTGGCATTTAGAATAACAATATTAATAAGCGATATTTATTAATATACTCCCCCTAAAAATAGAATTAATTTCCCTTGAATGATCTTTTTGCTTGGTTGGTCTTGTTCTGACAAGATGCTGTGTAATATCAGGGTAGGAGGTCCCTATTTCCCCTTCTCCACAGAGCAAGCAGCTCTGGCCGGGCTTCCCGGCTCCTTCGATGTGCTGCAGGAGGGAGAAGCTCCCCATGGAGACCTGCGCCTCCTCTCCTGTTGCTTTGCACAGAGCTCTTCTCTCTCCTCGCCCCTCACACTATTTCTTTTTCAACAGCAACTCCCTTGTCATAACACAGCAGGAATGTGCAAGTCTTGTGAGCTGGGGGGAAGCTTGGAGCCCGCGTGCGCCGTGCTCCGGCATTGGCCAGTGGAGGCAGAGCACCTGCTGCCCAAGGAAGCAGCAGGGATTGGAAGCACAAGGCCTGGCCTTTGCAGAGGCTGAGCACCTTCGTCCGTGCCTTGAGCGCCACGGCTGCTCTGCCGTGTCCCTGCGCGAGGGCCTTGCTCCGGTGTGCTCCTCGGGCCACCCAACATGTGCCCTGCTGGGAGAAGTCTCCTCTTGTTCCAGGGACGTTTGCTGCTGTCTGCAGGGATGCGCTAAGGCCTGGCCCTGGGCTGCACTGTGCAGCCCCGTGCGCTAAAGCCTGGCCCCGCGCTTCTCCATGAAGCCCTGTGCACTAAGGCCCGGCCCTGGGCTGCACTGTGCAGCCCCGTGCGCTAAAGCCTGGCCCCGCGCTTCTCCATGAAGCCCTGTGCACTAAGGCCCGGCCCTGGGCTGCACCGTGCAGCCCTGGGTGCTAAGGCCCAGCCTTGGGCTGCTCCATGCAGCCCCGTGCACTAAGGCCCGGCCCTGGGCTGCACCATGCAGCCCTGTGCACTAAAGCCTGGCCCTGGGCTGCAGCGTGCAGCCTGGCTCTGTGCCCGTGCCGGCCCCTTCCCTCTCCCTGCTCGCCGGCCTCCTGCTCTCCCGGGGCAGCTCCAAGGGCCCCGCTCTGCTCCGCGTGCTCGCCCAGCAGCGAGCTGCGGACCGCGGGCGCGAGGCCGGCGCGGCAAGGCCGGCGGCTGGCGGCAAATTCCGGCTCGCCTTTTCCACCGCCGCTATCGGGGAATCTGCTGAAAAGCAGGATGCCGCCGCCGGAGAACTAATGAGTTTTCATCAAACGTTCGTGCTTGCCCCTGCGTGTATGAGAGAGCGCGCAGAGCAGCCGCGAAGGGCGGCCGCCGCGTGGGCAGGGCGGCAGCGGAGGGCTTGAGCTTTCCCTGCACCAAAACGGGCCGTCTCCGTCCCTCACGCTTTGCCAAAGTTTCCTTCCCTTTCTCTTGAAGAATATTGCCAAGTAAATGCAAGGTTTCAAATGCCTTCATTATTTAGATTTATTCATGAGATTCCCACTTGATATTTCTGCATTGGGAAAACAGTTTGTGCATACTTATTGGTGAATTTTTATGTGAACTTTTGAAATTTACTCTGCGTTAATTACTTAACTGTTGTAGAGCGTTTTTCTTCCGATATTGAACAGAGATATACAAGTCAGTAACGTAATATGTCATACAAATGCCAAATCCTTCCCAAATAACTCACTTCAAGACTTGGTGACAGTATATGAATGAGTTCTTATACACATACATTCATGACTTTGTGAGTAGATAAATAAATAGGTCCCCAATGACCTGCTGCTGCTGGGGCAGTGGCATCCAAGCAAGCCTGTGTGCAGGGAGGCACTGCTCAGTGTATGGGATGTGCTGGGTGATTGTTTTCCCTCCGTATTTTTGTATTGGGTGTATATGCTCCTGACCTTGTTAATGCACAGGCTAGAATAGCCCGAGGTTGGGCCGTATTATATACTTTTCTTGTCTTTTTAAATGAACTGCTAATTATATATTTTGGTGAAAGAACTAGAGGAACAAGCAGGCCACAGAGCCAGTAAAGGAAGCTGCTTAGTGCCTGTGAAGCGTTTGCTAACACGTGTGTTATCTCCCCTTCGCTATCTCTCTGGTGTACACAAACCTTTCTGTTGGTTTCCTGTGCCTGTATTAATGCCCTCCTTCGTATCCTGCTTTCAGTTTGTTCCTGTCTTCTGCCTAGGCCTGCTGATGTACATCCTCAGTTGGTCCAACTGCTGATTCCCATCAAGGAAAACTTAGTTTTGCAAGAAGAGGTAAAAAGGCAGACAGAGGAGAGCAAAAAGCATGAGCTGAGGTCGAATTGGATGAGGAGTTTGGGCAAGAAACTCAGAAAAGGGCAGGATCCTTCCTCTTAAATGCAGGTTTTTCCTGTGTGACCCTTGAGGCAGCTCTGAGCCGCTGTGGGAAGGCTGATGCTGGAGACAGGACAGTGATAACCAGCCTGTCTGCTATCAAAAAGCTCCGCGGGGATGGAATGGTATCAAAACACTGGCATATTTCATTTTTCACCTGACTTTTTGCTGAGTCCATCAGAGACCATGCAGGAGCTGTGTCTCCAGCTCAAATAAAAGCTGTCTGCTTAATTATTACCAATTTGTGCAGCCTGCCTAGGATGCATGCCGAATGCATTTCCGCGGAGGTGCGAGCTGGTCCGTGTTGCCCGCTGCTGTTCAGCAGGATGCCCCCTCACTCGGGCATCTTCTCAGGGTGTTGCTTGTGCTGAGGCCACGGGGACGTCTCTCCCCGCTGTGCTGTGATTATTATTATTATTATTATGGGGAACTATTTTTAGCTTGGGCAGAGCGAAATCTCGTACTTCACCACCACGATACAGCTCTGTATCCATAGAAATCTGTTTCTGAGAGCTCATGTTTAAAAACATAGGCAAATGGATCATTAGCTGTTTTAATTATCTCTGTCTGCTGTGGCAATTACTCAAACTTTTTGCAAGGCAGCAAGCGAGTGTAAGAGTGATTGTCGAAGGTGACTTTTAGTAGAAATAAAAACATGTTGGGGACTCTTTTCTTAGAGCAATTTGGTGCTTTGCTAATGCCTCTGCCAGCACAGAGCTCTGAGGAAGAGGCGGGTCAACGTGCATCATCCCATGGTCAGTGAACAGGCTGGGACCTAATGGGTATAACAGCAGAGCAGACATTCACAGGTTGTAGATGGCAACTAAAATCCTTTAAAAGAGTTCTTGTTCTCAGTCCCCAAAAAGACTTGGGTAAAGAGACCCGTCCTTGCAGATCTTCCAGCTGAGACACGTTGATCACTTTCAATTTTAAAATGAAGCAGAAGAGTATTTGTGCATCAAATAAAATTTGATAAAATTCTGCACAGCTCCTGTTACTTGGATATTGGGGAAGAGAAAGATAGGGCAACAAAGTTTGCCTGGTACAGATTGGGTCATGAATATTCATCATTAAAATGAGTCAGCATTTGCATAGCAGCTCCACCCACTAGCCTAACTGTGACAGCCTTTGCCAATGAAATGCCACACGAAATGGACAGAAAATGAAGCAATGTGCCATGCAGCTGATTCCGTGAGTTTAAGCAGACAGAAGTCATACATCAGCGAGCCTCGGTCTTGGGAAGCAAGATTTTTCAGCAGACGCTGTATCTGGATAGACTTTCTCATCCGGACTTCCATCCCCGCTGCCTTCATCCATAAGTGTTCCCAAGAGGGCTGCCTGGCACAGGCTTTTGCTAGGTCTGGCTTATTTAGTACTTTTCTAGTGTTATTTGCCCCCGTGCTGGCTCATGTTGCTTTCCCTGGTACCAGGGCACCTCGAAATCCTTTGCTGCTGGTTTAATTACAAGCGTTAGCTGTTTCTCTCCATGTAATTACTAAAATGAATGGGGAAAGCAGAGATGAGAGAGTGTAAATTCCCTTCACACAGAAATGTAATTACGTCTGCAGGCATCTTTCCAACCTCTGTGTAGGTTATGTAAAGTTTTGTGTATGTGTTTATGAGGATATTTGAGGATGGTAATGAGGTAAGTGAAGATATTTATGTTTTTCCTTCTTGCTTTCACAATTTATTCATTTGAGACATATTTTATAAGGGGGTTCTGATTTAGGCAGATTGGTATCTCTTCCAGGGACAAGTATATCGGCTTCAGAAACCAAAGAAAAGAGATGATATCACTATTCCAGTGCACATGCACTATAGGCAAGTCGCTGGTGTGCTGCTGATCTTCTAAAGTCACTGGAAGTGCAAAGAGCCTTTGAGGGACCTCTCAAAAGGCATGACAATAGGTAGCACCTGGGTGTCTTGTCTTGGCGGATTTGCCTTCGCTGTGAAATAAATCCAGTTGTCTGCACCTGATTTCTTTCAGCAGTTGGGCTCACTTCAGTGCAAACCACCACGTTTCCCACCTCTTGATTTCTGCCGTGTAGGAGGCTGAATGGTTCTCAGTGCTGTGGTTAATGTGTCTTGGTCCTTTTGGGCTCCCCGTGACAGGAATCGAGAGAAAAGCCTGGGATACAAAGGTATTTGAGCGGAGCTAGCTTGCGTGCATGTTGCAGAGTGGTTGTAATAGCCTCTTAACTAATTGCGTTTAACCAAGCTTTATTCCTTGTCTCCTGCACGGGCACATAGCCTGGTTGTCACGGGGCAGAAATCGGGTTGAAGAGGTTCTGTTGCTGGATAGCACTTGAATAAGGGATGGATTTGTTGTGTACCTAAACTTAGACAACTCACACAACAGATTGCTCTTTGGAGATTTCTCAGGGAAATTAAGAGTTGACTGAAAATAAGATACGGAACAAGAAATAGTTAAAGAAATGCTTGGCTTTTTTGAAAAGTCTTTGCAAGATTTCTGTGAGCAGGAGCTCTTGAGTAAAACAAATTTGTGTACCATGTTTTAGTCAACTCTTAAAGAAATGATAATTGCCCCTCTGTTGAGTTGAATCGAATGTCCTTACAAAGGCAGGGTTGAAATAAATACAGCATTGATGTGCATTTAATTGTGCCGTGCATTGTGTGCGTAATGCAAGGCACAATTAAACTTTTTGTTCCCTAAAATCTCAGATTATGTATAGAGATAGAAAGTGAAATGCAGCCTCAGAGAGGTCAGTGGCAAATTTCTGTTCAATATCCCAGTCTTTGTGGGGGATGTTGAGTACAAATGTCATTGGTTGTGTAGCATGCAACACCAAAGGAACATTGTAGTGGTGCTGTGGTCATGAAAATATTGCAAAAGTTAAATTCCACAAAGGATGCTTTCATATTTTATGCCTCATGGGAAAACAAAACTGATATAATTTTGAAAACTCTAATGTAAGATGTGTGCTAATGTGTCAAAAATGAGCAAAATGTACTTAATAAGTTCCTACCAAAATGCAGGTAAGGTTTTCCAGTCCCACGTGCTGTTTGTGCTGCCTCTGCATTCTGTGCTGAAAGTGTTTGTTTCCCGTATTTGCCTAATTTGGGGGTTTTGTCGTGAGTCATGCGATGTATCAAAAGGAAGTTTTCACGCAAGACGCAGCGGTTTGTGAGATTTGTGCGACAAGGCTGGGTAAAATTCAAATGACTCTGTGATTTAATCCATTTGGAACTATGGCACTAAATCACCGTAGCTGCTGCTGACATACCAAGCCACAGAAACCTGGAAGCCGATGATATAAGTTTATCTGTGTATCTACAGGTGAAAGCTCAGACAGCCTTGAATTGCAGTGAGAACTGTGTGCCTCTGTTCTGAATATATTTAGGGAAGGAGCGGGATTTGCTTCTCCAAACGCTCCAAAAAGCAGCTCTACATGCTGCTTTCCCCTTGAAATAAATTGTCTCCAAGGTCATGCTGTCTTTCAAAATATCTTCTGCTAGGAAATTCCCCTTTTATTTCCAGTGATCCAGGCCACAACCTTATTAATTCAAGAAATGCAGATCAAGTAACCATAAGTTATGGCCAAGCTTATGGTCTTTAGCTCAATATCCATATGAAATAGATATGGAAACTATATCGAGTAGTAAAGCAGAACAGGCAGGCAAATCATCCAGATATCTACTAGTCCTGACAGAATAGCATTTTTACTTTTTCAGTATAGGTTTATTTTCAGTTAGCTTGTAATTTCAGTGGCGCTGAATAAGGCTCTTGAGGAGAGCGTGTAGCTGCTGCCATCAGCACGGCCAGAGCCTGGCAGCCTCTACAGAGGCTCCCAAGGGAAAGAGGCCAGGGAGCCCCTGCTGCCTCCTTGGCCGTGGGACAGGACAGGGCTGCGCCTTGTCCTTGGGCTGTCCAAGAGGCACTTTGGGATCCAGAGATGTTGGAGCCTGGCACCGTTCAGCATCCTTTACAGTGGCTTAAAAATTGATAAAAAGAAGCAGAGAGCGAAAGGCTCCGTTTGCTGTGCCAGGTGATACTTGGTCTCGGTGGGCCTGAGCTCCAGCTTTGCTCAGGGTTAGCCTCTGAGGCAGGGAGCGTTTGTGCAGGGGATGGGAGTGGGAAATGCAAGTTTCGGTGCAGTCTCTCTAAGCCACCAGATACGGATTCAGCAATTTGACTTGAAGCATTTACCTGCCACACAGAATTATGCACGGGAAGCTTCTGACTGGAAGAAATACTGTTTAATGTTACGGGTCTGTTCTGTTCTGCAGTGTGTCTCTGTGGCAGCTGCGCTGAAGTGCAGCTCCTGCGCGCTCCGTTTCATGCCAGGTCCTCCACCGTTCCTGCCACATGGAGCAGGACTGCGGAGACAGTTCCACTCATTAAGCACATCCTGCTCTTGAAATCCATTTTCATTATTTTATTTTGGATAAATGAATAAATAAGAGACTCCGTTATGATAAATGGAGCACTTGCAGCACCTGTAATGCACAAATTACCGCTGAAGAGGGAATTTGAAACGTCTCCATGTTTCATAATGAAGTTTTAGGCGATTCTGTCGTCACTTTGCTGAGCCAGGTCGTGTCTGGGAGGTAATACACGATAGCTTCCCTTTCATATTTCAGGGCAGAGGAGAGGGGAGCCAAACGTGAGCAGGTGGAGGGAAATTCCTGCACTTAGGGCATTGCTGAGGCTGCGTGTGAGGAGAGCAACCCAAGTGCGGGGCTCCTGAGAGCCCCCAGCCCCGCTGCCCTGCACGTGCAGAGAGCAGCTGGGGACCCAAACCGGCCCCTGGACCGGCAGCGCTTCCCCAGCAAAACCCAGTTCTTTCCTCCGGTCCCTCTCGCGCGTACCAGCTGCGCGCCTGGGAAAGGCGAAGCCTGTGGAAAGGCTCCAGTAAATTGTAGGTGTGGAGAGAAATGCCTGGAGAGCACAGCGAGCTCGTGCAGTGCCAGCCCTAGCCGCTGCCTTATTAAATTTGAGATGAAAGGCCTCAATCCCCTCCAGTGTCTCTGCAGACAGGGCCATGTTGAACTTCTTGAAGCCCTGCAAGCTGCTTTACTTAGTTTGGGGAAGTTAATGCCTTAAGATACCTGCTTTAAGGTGAGGGGACCCTTTAGAGCAGCAGGCTGTCTGAAACATCACAGGAGCAATCGTGGGGTGAAATTTCTTGTGTGTATGAAGGGCATCTTGGACCTTTCAGGCACTTATTGGGTGTCCTGCTGAACTGGCTATTGAGGGAAAACCCAGCCGTAAAGCCTGGCTCTGTCAATGAACGCCCTGCACAAATGCTGCAGACTCCTGGGTGTCAGGCGGATGCACTGCTGATCAGATGTCATGCCTCCTTCTCCAAAGTCCCTACTGTGTGGCTGCCATAGAAATTCCCATATGATCCTGCTATGGGATGAGTTTGCTGCATTTTCCATCTCGGATGAGTGTAGCGCCTCATCCGACCCCGCTCCGATGGGCATCGGTGGGAATGCTCACTTGCAATCCTATCATAGTAAAGGCTGAAGTCTGTGTTGGGTACTGGGCAATAAGGGACGAGGGGCAGGCAGCTTGGTAGCGAGCAAGCTGGTTGGGGTACTTCTTAGCAAGCCTTTTTAAGTTAGTTGTAGAGCTCGGAGGCATTAGTTGCCTTCTGCCAGCTCAAATAATCTCACCTGCTTGGCTTTGAGCGGCATCCACCCAGGAGTTGCATCCTACATGAAGGAGGGAAGGAAGAAGATGTATTTTCACCTGGGATTTGGCATAAAGGACCTGCAGTTATCCTGGTATCTTCAGCGAAATGGTGACGACTTCTTTATTGGATCTGTCCATGCCAGACTTATGGCAGACACTGCCCTCCAAACGTAGCCTCTGCTGCTGCAGCAAAACTTGGCGGGGAAGCCAGAAAGCATCTGGGGATCCTTCTGCCTCTGAAGCGTTAGGGGATCCTCTCTTGTGTCTTAGCTATGTGACCAGCTGTGTGACCTGTTCAAAAATCACTAGATTTATTTTTAGCAAAACAAAAATATTTGAGTGCTTAGGCAGTGAAAGAGGACTGCGTCATGGCCGTTCTCCATTTCTATGTTCAGTTCCCCCCACACCGGTTTTCTACATGCAAGGCCAGATTTGTGAAGGAAAATCCTCCTCTTATTGCAAGGAGTCTTTTTTTTCTTTAATCGTAATAATTGAAAGTGGGATGAAGCAGATATAAGAAAGCTGGTGCTTCCTCTGCCTATGGTGCCTCCCAAAACAGAGTTCCTGCTCACTTGAGTAACTGGCTGGACGTTTTGCTCCCTGCAGCACAAAATGTGTTTTCTCTTCTGCTCTACCTGCTGTTGTGTTTACTACTACAAGTAATACAATGCTAACCGAGTGAAACAAAGTCCTCTTTGAAGTGCATCAAGCCATGCATTTCAAAGAGGAAATGGATCGTGGCAGATTGGCATTGCACTTGGGTGGCATTTGTCTTGCAACGCTGAGATGTCTCTTGTGTGTTTCTAGACTTACTTCATTCGCTCTTTTAAAGGCCCTTTCGCTGTTTTCGGAATGTTCCGGGCAGAAGCGCAGAGCCAGGGCTGTATGTGCGTAAATGGGAGCACACTGGGCGCAGTTGCAGGTGAAATTCCTGGTCCCACGAGTGCGGCGGCACCAGGCACTTGGCAGATAGCGCTGTCTGGGAGCACCGTGTGCTTTTCCCGCAGGCTATTCCTTATATATCCACACAAGGGAAACTCCCAGCGAGCAGCCGCTTCCTTAACCCTCTCGCAGGCCCTCTGAAGATTCATCTTTGATGCCTGCGAGTGGCTGCCAGCTGGCAGCGCCGCCCTTGCTGAGCAGCCGCTGGTGCTTCGTGTGCACGGCGCTGCCCGCGCGGCCGCTTCCTCCTCCTCCCTGCCCTGCAGTCGGGCTCCTCCGCCTGCTGCATCTTGTTCCCACCAGCTTGGCGAGCACTTGGGGACAGCGACTGCTGCTATTTATTATAGCGTGTCTGCGTGGCCCCTGGCGCAGCAAGGGGAGTGCTGCTCATTAGAGCCACCCTGTCCCTCAGGGCTTTGGAGGATCAATACAGCTGTGCCACTAATAAGGAACACAGCTGGCATGAGGTATTTTCATATTGAACCTCAGCTTGGAGTCGCGGGCTGCTGTGAAAACATACTAGTATTCTCACAGCTGTTTTGCTGCAAGCAGACTTGGGGTTTAGTTCTCCGTTAAAATATTGGGTGTGCCTCACCGTCTTAGTCATAAATAATAGGAATAATATAGATAAATAGCCAGCTAGGTCCAGTATTAGCAAACTTGCTTTGGTTTTCAAGAATTCTGAAGTTGGGAAAAGCGCTAAGGATACTTTACCTCTAATTCAGAATGATGCCGCCTCACAAATTATATTAAAATTGAAATAGATTCTTATTTTCTGCTTAGAAGTTGTGATTCGTTTGTAACCCTTCTATCATGCCTTTCAGATAAAAATGATTAGTGGAGTTTGCTAAAATGGCCCAGGCATTCATATATTTTAAGGATTAAGGGAAAGATAATGACTGAAGAACGAAGCTGTGCATGCATTGAAGGGCAGTGGTCGATGGCTTATTAACAGTTTTATTCGGGTGCTTAGAACATGAGGTTCAAGCTCTCCGTCCGCCCTTGTAGAGCGTGTTCAGTGCACCGGGGAATATCTTCCTCATCCGTAAGTGGTTCTGAAGATAGAGAACAAGGATCAATTGGCCTTTTAAAGAACCATGGGAGTATTTATCCTCAGTATATTGCTGCTGTCCCTTCCACAGACATTATCCGAGAGCTAACATGTCTTTGCATGTGTCCTAAGCATCATAGCTGCGTATAGCATTAAATATATTACATATTAAGTGCAAGCGATGCTTGTATGTAGTTATGTATACCAGCTGCATATATCATTTATCCTTAGTAAGATATCTATGTCCAAAATGGATTTTTTGGTGTTGCTCTCCAAATGATTTTTAAGGTGCTCAAATAGCAAGGCACTCATTTCCGCTCGATGACAACATTTTTTTTTTCTAATAAATATTTGAAAAAGGAGGTTTAGCATCTACTGAAGATGAAGAATTGTTAAGAATTATTTTCTCAAGTTTTCATTTGGGCAGTTTTCCTGAACACTGTTTTGGGAAGAAAATACTCATAATTTTCCTAGGAGATAACAAATTTGTAACAGAATCTAAACTTTTCCTGTAGTTTCTTCTAGGTGATACCTGTAGGACTATGGATGAAGCCTCATCTGTTGACAAATAAGCCTTGGTTTGTGATCTAGTTTGCCAGTGCTTCAGGAATGCCTTTTTAAATATATATATATATATTTATCCTCATATGATTCTCAATATATAAGGATCGGTGTGATTCTCTAATCTCTTGATTATAACTTTCTTTTTCCTAGTTTTGTCTCCTGAATGCAGCTGGCTTGTGAATGAGACCGTGTAAAGGTGAGTGCCTTGTGTGTCACAACTAATGAACATCCATTGCACTGCAGTGAGGTGAAAACAAGCCGTGAGCAGCCCTTGTACCGAGGAAAAACACAATGTGCCGATGATTGAATAGCAGTTAATCTGTTAACAGAATTATTGTTGCTAGGAAAAGCACTCAGTCTAAGGACTATTGTGTTTAATAACAGTCTCAGCAGTGGGATAAACAGATCATAGTTTAACTGGCATTATCAAAGTCCTGAGTTATTCTACACATGCAAGAGAAATGATGAGGCGGTAGATGGCCAGCATGGCTCAGCCTTTACCATTGCCAGGGGCATAAAATGATGCTCCTCTTAAGAAACTGGTTCTCTTTCCCAGTCTCTCTTGTGTGTTAGAAGAACATGAAAGCATATGTCTGCATTTGAGAAAGAGTATATGAAACTGGTGCTTTCTGGCATGGTTTTTCAATCGAATTATGCACAAGTCAATTTATCTTAAATGAGATTCTTCTGGAAAAAAAATATCTTCAGTAATCTATGTGATTAAGAAGCCTCGGTTGGTATTAAAAAGACATTTAGCTGTTATGCTAGTCACTATTACAAAGCCTGAGTGATTTAGGAACGCTTGTTTCGTTATTCTAAATTAATTTAGTCAAAAAAGATTTGAGGCTTCCAGCTTTTGTGGAAAATCCGCATGAGAATTTGGAATCCAATTCCTCTGGAAAAGCTGAGCCTCAAACACTAATGTCATATTGCAAGTACTGTGACCTACCCGCTAGAAAGTGCCTACGTCGCCCTTTTAAAATAGGAATTCAGACCTAGAATTATATAGGAGCCTCTAAGGTTCTTATGCTAGGTTTTCATTTCATTCCTCTTCTTTATTTGGTGTCAAGCAAAACACTGGCAAAACTCTTTACTTTTGAGGCATTGTGAGTGACAACCCTCTGTTGAAAGCAAATTATTCGTCTCTTACGTGACAAGTGAGTTGTAGGGGGAACTTTCCAGGATGAGCAGGACTCCTCCCTCTGCCTTCCTTGAAAACCAAACTGTTTCTCCAAACAAAATGATAACACTTAGGCTTCCAATTCTGCTCACCCCCTGGCCTGGGCTTTGCAAATGTAAATGCATATTATGAATGCATGTGCACTGTCTGATATTTCTGGGAAGAATACTTTATAACTGAAATCTCTCTTCTCCTGGGGATGAAAGCAAAACAAATTTAAGGATTAAATCACACAGAGGTATAATCCTCAAGGGAAACTTACTTTAGTTATTATGATTATATTACAATGTATGCCTCGGTACAGCAGAAACTGTGTGAATACTATTTCAGTGGGGAATAATTTTTAGTCTTATAGCCTATGGTATATTATAATGCATTTCTGGGAGACTGATGAATAGTAGCTGCAATTCTCAGATTTCTTTGCTTTCTTCAGTTATTTTGGTATTCTAGCCCTGCTTTAAAAGAGAATGGGAAAGAACATTTTAAGAATGAAGACATTCTTAAAATAAAAACAAGTAATAACTACGAGAAGCTTTAACTAAGCATTAATTACCCATCTCTGTATTCTTCATGGTGCACAGAATGTTTGTGCAGTTAATGAAAAAGTAGGAACCATGAAAGGTAGGAACCATTTCAAAGCGTCAAGTCCTGCCTTTATACGGGTGATTGTTGAAGGAATATAAAACATCTCGGATAAATCTGCTAGGGTTTTGTGCAGGTTTTGTACAAGTCAACCGTGCAGGGTGCTAGGCATGAGAACTGGGGACCTTCTGCAGTTTACCTGCATGCCAGAGAGGAGCGTATTTGCAGAAAATGATGAAGGGCAAAAAATAAAATGACCCGGAAAGATTCCAAAAGGGAGTTTTGAGAGTTCCTGTTTGTAAAACGCGTAGTGATGTGTGCAGGTGATGATGTGAACTGGAGATGTGGTCGCAGCACAGCAAATGCTGGGAGGCAGAGGAGCAGTAGTTGGCAGTCCTGAGTGCTGGTAGCTCGCTGTCTGCTGCTGTGTGCCCAGAACAGGGAGCAGCACCGTGGTGACAGGCAGGGAACTCTCCTAGAAAACTGCTAAAAGATGAGTGCCATCCTGCCTGCACAGCCAGATCCTTACTCTCCTCCACATACCATCATATTTTACTTCTTATGCTTGTACCAGACAAACCTGGTTATAGATGGTTGCCTGAAGAACAGACAAACTGAATGACTTGGCCAAGGTCGCACAAAAGAGTCAGAGCAGGAGCTTGAGCTGAGGTCTCCAAAGCCCTCCGCCGGTGTCCTTACCATGAGATCATCCTTCCTGTAAAGACTGAAAATCCATACTGGTTGCACCGGGGCACTGGATAGCACCTCAGAAGAGCTGCCTCTGAAATACCCCGCTCAGTGCAGAGCACTTCATTACCAGGAAGATATTGATTGACACCTTGGAGGGAGTTCAGAGAAGAGCGACAAAAATAATTAGGGAGTGGAGAGACTGACTTGAGAGATTGATTTATGAGGGCAGATTAAGCGAGATAAATATGTATAGCGCAGCTCACCTGCAGCCGAGGATGCTGCATGATAGGTCTGCAAATATTTAAAGGGTGTAAACAATCAGAAGGGAGAATTACTCGTGGTGCCCCAGTGCTATTCGTGGTTTGGTGGTGCCCCGTGCTGTTGCTGTGTGAGGTCCGTCATGGCAAGCCCGGGGCGCAGAGCTGCTCTTGAAGGGCAGGGGAGGCTTTGGGAGCAGTGGGATGGTGTGATAGCGGGAATGGGGCTGTTTTTAGCATCCTTGGGTTAACTGGGCTCGCTGCGGTACCTGCGGTGCTGTGGAACAGCAGAGCACGGAGCCAGGGGAAGCGCATGGAAGTTCCTGGTGAAGCAGGGTTGGACAGTCCCAGTTCTGATCAGCCGTAGACGTAGCTGCAGGCAAACTAGTTAGATGCAAAAATAACAATAACTGGATTTCAGTAGCTGAATTGCCATTTCCAAGCTGTGTGTTGGACTGAGGGGAGAAAGGAGGATCCCAAATGTTGAGTTCTCCTTGCCTGCATAGCTGTAACTGTCTCAGGTGACATAGACACCTGTGATAGACACCATAGAGAGGTGACATGGGGCAAGGCCGATGCCATGCCGGCAGGACACTGAGGAACCTGTTGGGTTGCAGGGGTCCAAGGCCGGGACGTGTCCCCATCCTTGTCCTGGGGGCAGCAATGCCAAAGCTTCCCGTGCCCGGGGCTTTGCAGCACCGTGTTTCACCCCAGCCTGCAATCCGGGGTGCAGTGTCATCCCTGTAGGCACCGGCTTAGGGCTCATTCAGGGGCCTGATTGTTCAGAATAGCTAAGAAACCAAAGGATTTTGAAGTTGCTAGGTCAAATTATCTGCAAATGTATGAAATTTCACTGAAATTCCGAGATTCATTACTGTATGTTTCACTGGGAGCTTTCGCACTCTGGACTAAAGGAGTACATAACGTAATTAAGTCATACTAGTGCTTTATGCAGGGGAATGTTTTATATTATGTAGTGTTTTTTCCTGATGGCTGTGTATTGCACATGATAATATTAATGGAACATGGGCACAAACTAGCTTTTCTTTCCCTTTTTTTTTAATCCTTTTTTCTTTTTTTTTTTTCATTTTCTACAGTGTGTCAGCTTGCAAAGCACCAGTGTGCTGATCTGTACGCAGGAATTAAGCTCAGCAGAGTTGCATGGATTTGAAAGAAAGCTGCTAAATGTGTGGCTGCATGTGCAGAGCTGCCCTGGCACTTGCTGTCCCCTTCTGCGCCTGGAAAAGGAAAGCTCTCCTCCCATTCCAGCTCCCGACTTGTGGATTCCCATTTTCTTTGCCTTGCTCGTTCCGTTTGTAGTTCTCCACTCCGGTCTCTGCAGAGTAATTTACTGGCAGAATCTCTCCCAGAATCCAGCTTGAAACCAAGCTGTAAAAACAGCTGAGTGTGTAAATAATTCATGCAGACAATATGACTTTTTTATGTAAATTCGGTGCATTAACCCTCTATTATAATGATGGACGACAGATATGGGCGACGTTGCCTTGGTAAGAGCTAATGGATGGCCGCCATAAATTCACTGCACATTTTATTGTGTTGCTGGAAATTGTGCCTTCAGGCAATGCTGTTTACTTTTATGTAAAACTCAGAGTTCCCTAAATATTACAAATATTTTACATCCGACTCCTCAGCATTTGGGCACAGCACACAAATCAGGCTTTCTTCATCTCACTTGTAATTAAAGATTTGTTATTTTTTTCAGGGACAATTATCTAAAACTATAAAGAGAAATATTTTTTTTCCCCTAAGATGTTCAGTCATTGACTTATTAGCAAAACCTTTGAAGAAAGGGATATTAAGTAACTACAACATATAACTCCACAGCAGACTGTATACCATATGCATAGCAAATTTGGAAATAGCTTCTTATGACCAGTTTTTATTTTTTACAGTTTCTTGTACTTATTTACACATGTAATATTTTTCCCCTCACATATGCTTTTTTGTAATTCCTATCTCTTTTATCAGAGTAATTCACTGAACCATATCCTATAGGAATTCAGTCTCACAGTAAACACGGAAGGTTCAGCTAATTTCAGGGAATTTTAAATGAAGCTTTTTTGTTAGTTCTTGTTTCATTATTTACTGTTTTCCACAGGCCGTAGATAGGGACATGGGGATAACGCTGGTGATTTGCTTACGTGAACTATTTTCAGGAAGACAGATATGCTTAAATAAATCATTCTCTCTATATTTTTTTCACAATAATATTGCAATTCTGTAATGAATTCACTTTAATCTGCAATTTCACCTCATAGGACACTGCAGCTTTGGGGAAAAAAAAAGAAAAAGAAAACAAAAAGTAGTTATATTTAAAAATGCTGCCAAGTGCATGAAGTGAAGCCAGTTGGGAAGAGCATGAAGTGAAGCCCCTGCGTGGGAATTTGTTGAATGGCCCTTTGGATTTGCTGAAGAAAACCTCATAGGGACCGATTCTCTCTTGTTTCAGTGGCTTTTCTTAGAGATTTTATTTTAATATCTACGTGAACAAATGCTGCACAAAGTTGAAGGTGAGTGTTTTCAAGTCAAGTAGAAATACATTATACTTTACAGAAGACCCTAATTTCCTGAGGAGTAAATAGAAGGCACATTGTAATAGTGGTAAAAACACTGGGGAAGAAAAGAGTGGAATGCAACACAAAAGTGGCTAATGAAATCAGACTTGTGAACCACATGTAATATTAAGCAAAGGCTAACAGTTTAATTGCACATAAAGCTACTTAATAATTAGATTTATTTTGTTTCCTGGCTACGCATGCTGCTTTCAGCTGTATTAGGAATGTCACAAGATAAAAGTGCATGAGCTGTAACCAGGGGCATGGACTTATTTTTTCAGCCCTTAGTATTGACTGAGATTCCTAAATTTGGACTCTCAGATTTTTCACCTTATTCTTCTGACGTGCTTTACTGCCCTGAAGCCACTTTGCAAAATTCATAGCGGCTTTCACATGCTCTGATGCTTCCTGGGACCAATTCAGTCTTGAACAATAGATGTGTGTGCAGTAGAGCCAGGAAATGTTAGCCTGGAAATCGTGGGATTATTCCCCGATAACATTTTGATCTGTAAAGTATTCCACTACGCAAAACACACACTGGAGACAGCATTAAAAAACATTAGAGACCAATAGCCAGACAGAAAGAAGAAGGACTTAAAATACAGATTGACAGCATGGCCTGGGTCACAGGTGGAACATGCTAAATATTCAGTGGAAATATTACGAAGAGTATATTCAATATTTTACATTCTTCAGTCTTTTAACAAATCTCTTTTGTGACAGCATTTTGCCTTTAAGTAATAGTCAACTTGTATGAGTATTTCTTTCAGTATTTTCGTATTATTCATTCTTTTTCCTTATTTCCCAGTTTCATTCGTGGCGAGTGTTTCACTCTTGTTTCCCCCTGCCGTGTTTCAGTGCAGAGCAGCCCAGAGGTGGAGGCCTGGGAAGACACGCAGATCACGTTCCCTCTTCTCCCTTCCGCCAATTTGATCTGTTTGCAGGAGGTCTCTATAATCCTTGCTTATAAATGTTCCACAGGAGCTCATGTCTCCATTCCTGTTGCAGAGCAGGCAGATTTTCACCGGTTCCCCTGGCCGGTACCATGCTCTGGTTGATGATATGTAGAGCAGAAGGCATCGTTCTGACCAGACCCTCTATTTAAAGGTAAATGTTGAGAGCTCTTCAGTGTTAACACAGATGACTGTTACCATGTCCTGGACAGTTGGCTTTCATGTAATTTATTGCAGCCAAGAGGATGAGCTGGAGCAAGAGTGGGATATGAGCCAGGTCTCTGTTAATTCACCCAACGTGTGAAAGCGGCAGACAGCGGAGAAGCCAGAGAGACAAGCTCAGGCCTCTGCCTTCACCCCGAAATCGAAGATTTCGAGATGAAATCCAAAGGAACCTCTTGTGCGGACTCCCAAACCGGAGCGCTGTCTTGCTGCTGTTGGCCTGGCTTGGTTGGTGGTGGGCTGGTGGCCTGGCGGGGACGTGTGTGCTGTGCCTCTGTCCAGGTTACTGCCAGACCTAGAAGGCTGGTCCAGCCTTGAGCTCTCCCTAAGCTCTGTCTCTGCCTTCCTTGCAGGAACACGGCAGATGGAAGCGAGGACCTCTTGGAACCCTCCATGGTGCTTGGAGAAGGGGTGACGCAGGTGAGTTTTAGCTTTGGTTGATTTAGAGGGCACATGAAGAATGACACCCATGGTGACACACCCCCTTCTAATCTCTAAATGCAGCGTTGTCAATATAGAGTAAAGGTTTTGCTAGATCTCTCTGTCTCAATTTAATACGTTTAAGTACTGCACTCTGCATATGAGGAACAGTGATGTTATCAGAAAGCATTCAAAAACATATGTTTTAATGAAATGTGTTGACAACTGCTGAAGTAAAGTTTTTGTTAAGTCTCAAGAGTTTAGCCATGACAAGCAGTATTAATGAATTGAATTAATTAAAAAGCATTTCAAGATGAAACAGGGTCTGTTCTATGTAAAATGCTCTATACATTAGACAAGCATTATGGAAATCACTGCTTTGTACTACACTGTAATGCAGCCATTTATAAAAGCTTCTCAAGATCCATGGATAGCAGTAATTTGGGTTTAGCATGTCTTTGAAATTCATTGAATGCAGCATACGCTGTTTAAAAGCATGAAATCTGGATAGTTCCACTGCCATCAAAGTTCTTACAGCTTGGAGAGGGAAATGGGGAGCTCAACATTACTGGAATTAGCAACAGTGTGCATGAAAACAGTGAGCCCAAAGAGCACCTGGTGAGCACCAGGGGAAGCTAATAGACGTAAGTAACGCTGAGCTTTCAGAGGCAGGGTTTTCTGACTAGGACTATCTCCAGGTTCCAAACTAATCTGGAAATGTGACTGCACTACAACTTATTTGTCTTACCTCTGCTGCCATTCTGCTTGTCTGCTGCGCGATCCCTTCCTTTATGGAGAAGACACATGTTACCCTGTACCTCTTTATTTGCAGATTGTTTTAGCACCCTCTCTAAAAATAGCACCAACAACCGTGTGACCAGTGGTGTTATAAACAAAAGGTCTGTCCTACTACATCAGATGTTCATACGATTTGCGGCGTCCTCTCATGAGTGTGGGCCCACATGGGACTTCTTTACTGCAGTTTGATCCTCTTAAGCTCTCCATCTGGCCACTAGCCTGAGATGTGTCCTGTAAGGAGATATGTCTTTGCTCTATATAGGAAAATGAGATTTTTTTTCTGCTGTTTCACTAAACAACAACAAAAAATATGTTTGCACTTGTCGCAGTTAACATTTGCATTGAGGATCTGCACGGTGAGAACTAAGCTTGCTTATACCTGCTAAACAGGCACAGGTAGCGTTTGTGTCTGACCAAAAGAAGTCTCTCCCCCCTGGCTAGATACTGTGCTAGGAACGGAGCAGTATCTACTGAAATAAGGCTTAGCATTTCTGTTCCCATCAAACCCTCCTTGCAGCCAGAGGGCTGAAGCAGTCTGGCCTTAATTATTTGGGTAATTAAGTCATGATGGCAGGATGTCCCCATGAGAGGCAAACAGCATGTAAAGGTGGTGGCACTTTTCTCCTGGTGCATAAGGATTACTGGGACTAGGGGGAAGCGGTGGTAATGGCAAGGGGTTGACCTGATAACAGTGAAATGAAAAAATAGCATTTATACCCTTCAATTACTGAGAAGAAATATCCTAAACCCATCCCAGGTCAGCTATAATGAGAAAGACGGACAGAAAATTAGACTTGGTCTCTGTTCTTGCAGCCAGAACCTGAAGATGGAACTGCAGCAGCCCTGAGGCTGGTCAGACCCAATTCTCACATTTTTGTTCTTAAGAATAGCGGAAGAAGCCTTTTTGATGGCAGATTATTTTCTCTGACTCCTAGGAAGGATAGGTAGCTTTGAAACAGGCTCCAAAGCACAAATTGGGGAATGGCTTTGTAATGCGCTTGATGTTTGTGCACTCGGTCACAGCAGAGAAAGCATCTGTAATATTTAAATGAACATGAGCATTAATCTCTTCAAATGATGTAACATGGTCTGTGTAACAGCTACTGTTTGGATTATATTTTACAAGGAGTGGTAGTCACAGGATATTAATAGTTACAGTCCATCCTAAAATCCTAGCTGGAATCTGTGTCCAATCCCAAGTGAAGTAATTTTGTATTCTCAGCTCCACCTACAGTAGAACAGTCATCAGAATTATGATAGCACCACTGAGCTGCTTACAAGACCCTGGAATTTAATGAGCATTTCCAAACTTGCACTCTTCTCCAAAGAGAAAGCGCTGGATATAGGAAGGCAGAACGTGGACTTTGGAGCGTAGGGGATCAGCTGGTTCTCCAGACACGGCGGCTCTCTCATAACCACCTGGGGAGGGAGATGAGAGCCCATGCTGAAGTGGTGGCAGGGGTCACTCCTGCTGCCCCTTAGCCCTGTGACGCTGCAATCTGTTCTTCAAACGAGCAAGATCCCGTCCTGCCTCGCTGAGACGACAGTCACCAGTTCTAAGTAGCTCACAGCTTCACGGTAGCACGACACAATTCTGGTCAAGAGCCCCCAAAAGGTGGATGGAGGTGTTTGGCTGATCCGATAAGGTTCCTATTCATTAGGGTTGTTAAGTGCTAGTTGCACTTTTGTTAGCGTTACCATAACTAACAGGGCTCCTTCTGCAAGACGTTAATTAGATTTGGCAATTCCACTTACCCATGCAGCCCCAGCACACAACCATCACACATCAATATTTAATTTAATTACCGGTGTTGTGGTGCAAGTCACATCTGATTTAAGAAATAAATACGCTTAATTATTAATGAGATAAAACCCATACAGTATGTCACCTTTTGTCAATTGAGCTTTATTAGGTATATTCAGAAAAGACGCACATGAACACCAGCAAGGCCGGGACACGGTGCGCTCCGTCTCGGAAAGATCTTTGTCCTTCGCTTGCAGAAACTTCCTGTTTTTTAAATAAGACAACAGAGCTGCTAGTCTGCAGGCCACCGTTCTACGTTAAAAAAAAAAATACACTCGTGTTTTGAATAATTTATTGTTTACATTATTTTGTTACAAAGAAAAAAATGGACATTTGTCTTGCATTCTATGGACAATGTAGTCTGTCTATAAATATTGTCTTCAAAGAAAAAATGTTCACATTTTCTTAGGTTTAGGATTATATGTAGCATCTATAGAAATTTATTTTATCAGGACCCTTATCATAATCTTGTTGATGTGGTATGGTACAGAGGCAAGAAATCATTTTGCAGCAAAATCCTCTGGAAAATTGGCCTGCTTTCGATCTGCATTGTCCATTCTGTATTCAGATCTACCCACTAGAGGCTGAAGGAAACAACACAGATGACTGTCACGCCAACGCTAGTCATGAAGACAGATGTCTGGTAGGATGCAGGCCAAGAGATTGCTCACACCTCTGTGTGGAACCCGAGGTGGATGGCAGAGAGGTGGGACCAAGCAAGGACAGGCAACTAAGCCTTGGGGCTGTTTGTGATGATGAACTGCAGTAAAGTAGCTTCCAGCCAAGCCTGGATCCGTATTTCATAAGCAGCCTTATAACCTGGACTGCCACTCGTAGCCCCAAAGACTTAGGATTAAATAGAAAACAGAGAAGGAAAAAAAGGTACCGTACGAGAAATGCATCAGATTTGGTGAAATTAGTGGAACTCCTTTTGTTCATCTTTAATGCAGGATCAAAGCCTTCGAAGGTCCCACTTACACACAAAGTGGCCTTTGTAAGCCTGTGTTTCCAGGGTTTCACAAGCCAGTGCTAGAAGTTTGTGTGGGTTGGAGCTTGCTGTGCAAGATCTTTGCCAGGAGGAGTGGGGGGGATTTGGTTTGATGTGCTTGACAAATTTTGTGAGCTTCTAATTTCACTGTGTGCCAAACAAATAGTTCTCCAGAGGCTGAGAAGGGTTTTGGAACTTACTTGAGGGAAAATTCCCACTTAGCAGAAAACTCATGAAAGCAAAAGCAGTTCGGAAGGACACTGCGCTGTACACCTGCTGAAATACGCAGTAGCCTTTCAGATCTGTCGGTAATAGCTTTTCTAGAGAAAATAATATATTAATTTTGAGATTAACTAATATAATAGGAACCCGTTGGGTCATCAAGAATGGTGTATGAAGGAGACCACTTCAGCATGGCCTGGGAGCTCCTTGCAAAAATAAAAAGAACCATTCACCAGACCAGGACTGGGAAAGTCTCCAGCTGACCACTCGTCCAAAAGAAAACACATAGGAAGGTAAGAGGAGAGCACTAAGGCAGAAAGTATGGGTGGGTAGATAGGCAGGGAATAATGGAATTGCCAATACTTGGAGTGAAGGAGACGCATCTTTGAGAAGAGCTGTAAAGTCAAACTGTTTCTTCAGCTCCATGACCCAGTGTTGCAGGTGGTCACCACACTTGGTATTGTGATCTGTTGGTGTGATTGATGTATTGCTCTGTTTCCATAGGGTGTGACTAAGGTGTGGAATTAGCAGCACTGAGCTCACACCTTCTGTCAGCTGCCAGATTTGGGAGAGGCATCCTGGGACCTGTTCCCTCTAATTACATTCCCTGGTCTTGACAAGTCCATGCGTCCAGAATCGGAGCATGGGGGATGGAGGAATCTGTGGAACCTGTAGCTCCACCAGCCAAGCCTAACGCTGAGGGGTGGTGCATTGGGAACACTTTCCCCGGGACACCAGCAGCCTGGATGACAAGCCAAGAAATGTATGGGAAACAAGAACTAATCCTCTTTGAGAAGAACCTATAATTTTCCCCCAGGAAAGAAATACTGCTGCAGCTGGAAGGACCAGGTAAAAGCAATACTGCCTCCAGCTCTGTCTGAGCATACTGCAAATCTGCAGCTTGCATGGGAACACTGGGACAAAACCCTCAGCGTGATGCAAATGCCTGCGTGTGTTCATGTGAGGGGAGTGGGTGGCAGCCGGTTTAACCCAGGGTGATTTGGCTTTCGGTGAATCTCCAGTACTGGTTATACCACCGCCACGAGCGTGCCCCAGGGAGCAGGAGACTCTGCTCTTGCATCGGGACCGGCTCTGCAAATGAAGGTGCAGCATAAATTGAGCTCTTGTAATGAAGTCGCACAGGTTAATGAAAAGTGGGAGCTTTATCCTGCTGCGTAGTTAGCAGTTGTGTTAGTGTGTGAGGCACAAAAGAATCCGCTTCTGTCTTCCTTGCAGTGCTGCTTTGGTAAGCGTTTGTTTCTTCCCTTCTATTTCTGGATCAGTTTCTGGGAACTTATCCTGGCATAGTCCTGAGTGCTCCAGTTTTATGTTGCCTTAGCGAGATTGTGGAAGTTCACCTGGAGCAGAATAAGGGCTGTGTGCCACCAAGAAAAGGCGTGATTCAATGAAGTATGTTTGCAGACTGGCTGCCCCTTCGTGGACACGCAGGCATGCAGGGAAAACTGTTAATATTCTCTGTCCGTCTTCCCAGTTCCTCCCTGAGCTCCCTGCAGAAAGGCTGCACTCAGGCTGGCACAGATGCGGGAATGCAGCCAGCACAGGTAATGCCACCAGCACCAACACGTGTGAAATCCCTCTCGTTCCTTCTGCAAATGCTCTCCTCTAGAGCAGGGCCTGGGGCTGTCCCTCGTGGCAGCCGCTTAGCAGGGGCAGTTGCAGTAGTTCTCACCTGCTCAGCCTGCCTGGCTCTTCCAGGCTTGCTGGTGCCTATGGGAGATGAATTTGATCTTTCTGCTCTCCCCTCCTTGCTGTTTTCAGGTTTGCTAAAGGCTGGGCTTTGTGTTCAGGTCTCATGATTCAAGAACACAGCGGTTGTTACTATTGAGAGCAATTGGTACAACTAAGGCACATATCCTAACAAAATCCAGCAACATAAGCCAAAACAAAATAAAGATTAAACCAGTCATTTGCTGGGAAGTAGTAGTGACCCTATCATTCAGCAAAGGCAACTCTTTCGGGCTTCAGCAACATAAAGTAGCAGCCAGATACTCTCCCTGCTCTGTTCGGTTGCACCTGGACCCCTTTCTGAGAAGCTGCAGGTTCCGTAGACAGCCC